AGGGAACCTGCTTAGGCAGGAGGGTTGGACTGGATGATCTCCTGAGGTCCCTTCCAGCCCCTACCATTCTGTGATTCTGTGAATTATTTATTTTTACTTGCATTGTTCACCTAAAGTTGGGTACTCTTTAACACAGGTATATTCTTCTCCTAAGGCCCAAGCCAGGGCCACGACAATCACAGGCCTTATTACATGGGGCAGCTGGTCATTTATCATCTTCTGCAAAGAACAACTGTCCAAACTGCAGTAATCTAAAGCCTTACCTTCCCTAGCATTCAAGATCTATTACTTTCAGGCCAACTATGCCTCTGTGATGCTGCAAAGGAAGAAGAAAAAGTCACTGGACCTAAGTCATCCGGTCCAAGAGAGGCAGCTCCCAGAACAGGTTATCATCTGCATCTGCAGCTTCCCAAGAAGCTTTACTCTCACCCTACAACCACAGCGAACAGCAGAACAACTGAAGGGCTAAAATGCAGTTGGAAATAAAAGAAAACAAAATATTGCTAAAATACTCTGAACCTGTCCTTCTTCCAATATTTACACAGTGCTAACGTGTGGCATCCTTTAAGATCCAAAACACAGTGATCACCAGAAGCACTACTTTTCATTAACTGGCCTGATGACCTTAGTTGCAGTACTAAGACAAAACACAATGAGACACGATGAATTACTGTAGTTCCATTACCTAGGTGCTTTTAAAAAAAGAAATAAAAAGATCAGCAGCTGAAAACTTTTACTGGTTTGCCATGTAGCAGCTAACTTACTACATGGAAAAAAAAACAAATTAGGCTTTTTTAATAGAATAATTTAATGAATTGAAACCATTCCTAGCAGGTCATCTTTCAGTCACTGCCAGTTGCAAGATACTTTTTCCTATCTTTCAGAGATTATTTTTCTCCATACAGAAAAAAAAAATTTAAAAAGCAGTTAAATTTTTTTGTTTGTTTTTCAGTTCTCAGAAGGCTGACAGGCCTTTTTCTGTGGCACAAAATATAGGAGAAATATTTTTAATTCTAAACTTCACTCACTGGAAAATTCAACAAAAATTTTTCAGTAATAACAGGTTAGAAAAGCTCATCAAATTTATCCTAGGAACACACAGTTAAAAGAAGACAAATTAAGAGCAAATTAACTTTGGACAAAATTAATTAATATTGTAATTGTTCTCTAGAAATTGTATGTTAGAATAAAATAGACTTTTTTTTTGCTTTTTGCTTTCATGACTTGTGAAAAGCAACTTCATTTCAAATTACTCAGAAACACCTCGTGAAGTTCATTTAGAAAAATTTAACCACAGTGTAACTGCTATTACTTAAACAACCAGACCACCCAAGAGGACATCAATACTTCAATAACAAGGGAAATATCATAACACCACCTGTGAACCTTACAGAACAGCGTAAGCGTAGAGGAAATTAGATTTCTCTTAAATCCCAATACTCAGTTAAAAGGTGGATAAATAAAGTTACTTTTTAAAGAGTTTTGGACACTTTTTTAGCATTTTATATGTTAACTGTACAGATTCATTTGATGGTGGCAAATACTCAGCACTTCTACCTATGTCAAGTAACCAAACAGGCATCAAGAAGTGACGAGCACAACATTTAAGCAGACTGATGCTGTGTAGCCTGTCCAGCATTATAACGAACTGTCCCTTCCTGAAGGCACATCTAGGGAAGCAATCCTGTTTTCTGGGAAACAAGTAGTTGTTCAGCTGCCTTAACAAGGGACAGCTTCTTCCTCTTTGTATAATTCTGTCTCATTTACTCATCTTCCAGTTGTATGATCCAGGTGTCAGATGTTCCACAGACAGTCACTGCCTTCACCCTACAACCCTAATTCAGCCAGTAACTCCCTTCAACCATACAACCTTTAGGACAGGCTTCAACCACAGATATTGTGGGAAAAACAATGTCTATCAGGCATTATAGTTCGTATCATACTGCAGATGCACAAGGCAGCCAGAAAACTGCTGTACACACACTGGTAGTTCTGGCACTCTAGATTTTGAGTACTAAACTTTGTAATGTTATCCATTAATTCCTTCAATTTTCAAGAACAGCAAACCTAACGACCCAGGTTTCTTATTAAAATCCTAATTTTCTTCCCTAGCCATTGCTAGTTTCCACACTTTGTCAAATATTTTTCTCTTTTCCTTCTTCTGTATTATGTCCACAACAGTTCTTAGCACTGGATTCTTTCTCCCATTCATCCTCATGCTGGTGTTCTCCACACAGACATTTTCATGAGTTCCTCATCTCATCTTCCCAATTTGTTTTCTTTTTAGTAAGTCCAGCTTACTATTAAATCACAACCTTTAACTCTTTCAATAGGGTACACTGCTAGTTACCAGCTTTCAATTAATTGGTACCACTGCTCAGCCCTCTCTGGGCCCAGCCCATCAGCCAGTTTTCAATCTACCTCTCTGCTTCTCAGACAAAGGACTGCTTACTCTACTTTTGCTGCAGCTGCAAAGCTCCTAAAACAATTAGACACAGAATCAATTAAGTTAACTTCTCAAAAACACAGATACTGAAACACAGAAAGCCAGTTCTAAGATCTTTTCTCTCTGGAGAAAATCTAGTAACAGTTTATGATATGGATGATTTCCAGTGAGGAAAATTAAATCTGAGTCAGGTGCATGACTTTTGATTTTTAAGGCTGAAATGTTTTCAACGTGCAAGATTTTAAAACTATACTTCTGGAAAGAATTAAAAATATGCAAGGCAATAAGCTCTGAAGAGCTGTGAAAATACAGTATAAAAAAGCTCAAACACTGTTTGGATTAAATTAATAGTCAATAAAAAACTTGCAATGGTAGAAATGTGTAAATACAGTAAAATCTAGTGTATGTCTCCCCATGCTCAAGCTCAATACACAGCATATTAACACATATAATAATGCAATTGGACAAGTTGCATAAAACAAGGCATTTGCTTTATTTGGGGAGAAGGGAGAATGGAACTTGTGTAACTATTTTTTGACAGGCAATATAATCTGTTTATTTTTAACTGGTACACTCAAATTCAGCAATTACACACACACAAATTTGCTTTAGGATAAATATCTGGGTAATACTGTAAGTACTGAGATAGCGACAGGATTAAAAAGAGGCCTTACCTGTTTTGAACACACCAAGGAAGCCATAACACATAGATGTGGTGTCAGAAACAGTTTTAGTCTCATGATTAAAATTGCCAGGACACCGTATGCCAATAGCTGCAATACATGGTATACCAGCTGCAAAAAAACAAACAAACAAAAAAACCACACAAAAGAATAATATTTGCATACTTTTCATTTGTCTCTTAAACATACAATTTATTTTTCAGTATAGCCTAAGTGACAAGCTTGTCGGAAAAGGAGTCCAAGTCAAAGTAAAGAGCTTCACATTTCAGATAGTGTTAAGGAATTCCTGATATCTTTTTTCCGAAGTGCATGTAGAGTGCTAAGGTATGGAACAACAGGAAGGATAAACATTAACAATAAAACCAAAAGGACTTGGAGAAATGTCTAGCTATGCAAAAGATCCTGAAAACATCAACAGGCAATGACATACGTAAAATTTCTTGTAAAACCTCTTTATAGAAGTGAAGAGACGTTGCTATTTAATACCTAAAATACCTAAGTAGGAAATGAAAAAAGCAAAGAAAATAATCCTTGGTACTCATACACCCGCTGGCAGCTTGCTTTAATATTCTCAGAAAAAGTTAAAAAGCATCAGAGATGTCACTCACCACTCCTAACGTTGAATCTACGTTACTTGTGGAAGTGCTGTGGTAAACCATAGAGGTATTTTTGCAACCAGTGAACCAGTGCTTTTATCTAACCAATTGATTATAATATTTTGAATGGCATGAGATTTCTCTCATAGCACAAACCACAAATAAACTGCTGTTAAAAAAGTTGTGCGCTGTATTTGCTGACTTAATTGCAAATAAAGAAACCACATCAGAAAGCTGACATTCAATTACATTTCTTGCATAATTTTATTAAAAGAATCATGTGTAGAATTATTTTTATTATGGCATATTTCAAATCAGAATTTTAACATTGTCTGTCACGTGAAACCCCAGTAAAGGAACAAATCTCCTTCTCGGTCTATATGGGGAAAATGTAAGGTCCAGCCTCATTTCAGTGTCTTTCTGTACTGCTACAGCAAAAGCCCAAAGGACTCCTCTCTTGCACTGCCACTCCACCATTAGTACTATATTTTTTTGTTCAACATTCCAGAGTTATTCTGGTGACATATCAGACCCAATTCAAGATGAGCAAATCAAAGATGCAAATATTTACCTTCAAATAAAACACATATCAGGATCTTATCACTGCAACCTGTATTTCAATATTGAGTATTCACATTAACATATGAATAAAATTATGCAGAAAAGGAATCTTACCTCACCATGGTTAAAACGTTCCTCTCTGAACAAAAAGAAAGAAAATCACATTATGTATGTCCTACAGAAGCACTGGTTTTACTCTGAAGTCATCTACAGTGGCTATAGACAACTGAACTAATCCAGTAAGAACAAGACAACACTTGCACAGATTTTTCTCCCTTTCTATAACAAGCTTTGAAATATATTGCAAATCAGTAACTATCCTCCTCAATCCTTATATCTATTTGGGAATCTGAAAATTAATTTTAGCAGTTTTTTAATTATTTCCATGAATTATTTCATATAAAGAACTTATTTAGAGAATGAAACTTCAGTAATGTAAAAGAGGCAGAGCACTGTTACCAAAAAAGAGTGAGTCATTTACTGAAGTACTACATAGACTGGTTCTGGATTTTCAGAAGGAAATACAAACATTAAAAGTCAAAATCATGTATACTTGTTGCTCTCTAAAAACATATGTGAAGACAGGATGCTGAATCCTGCATCTGTTAAAATTCTGATAGTGGCCATTAGACTATGGAAAGCAGAGATCACTGAGATGATTAATGATAAATTAAAAAAATAAATCAGGAAGCAAAAAGATACGCCAGGGAAATTACAACAGTCAGTTGGACAAATTGACTGCTCTTGAGTACAGCATCAACTACTGATGCCAAATGGCTCTTACAGGCAGAGCATGCATTACAGATATTTAGAAAATAAAATAAATACAGTTGGGATCCCTTCCTAAAGTTGAACCTCAGGTATCTTCACAGAATCACAGAATGTTACGGATTGGAAAGGACCTTGAAAGATCATCTAGTCCAATCCCCCAAAGAAAGAAGGAAAAGAAGGAATAGAGGAAAGAATTTGAGGAAAGAATTTGCATTCACTGTTTATAGGAGAAAAGCAAATAGGCACATAAATAAATACTGGTTTAGGAACAGAGTAGAAAAATAAACTATTAAATAGAAAATTTGGGGGTAAGAGGGTTGAGATGTCTAAAACTAAGTTCAGCACCTAAACCTAAGTTTTAGACATCCTATAAAAATACCACATATAGCACACCCAAGTCATTCAGTTACTGAACTGTACATAATTTGCCCTTCAAAAAGAGCCAGCATCATGTAGAATTCTGAATTATTTAGCATATATGAAATCAAATAAACTTCCAGCAGAAAATTCAGTTTTACATTAAAAAAGAAGACAATATCTACCTTTCATATTGGCCCGTCTGTGATAAGGCCCACATAAGATTTTTAATTGCCTGAAGAAAAAAAAACAAAAAACAAAAGCCAACAAAAAGTATGAATAAACTTTCAAAAGCATTCTAAAGAATTTTCAACATTTGCTGAACTAAATTACACCTGGGTAATCTCATTTTGAGATAATGCTAAGATAAAGACATGCAATGTTGTAGCTAAAAATTCTTTTTGAGGATGTTTAATTAGCCAGGCAGTTAGCAGTTATCCCATCTGTTCCTGTGTAAACTCTAAGTTGTTTTTACACAAATTACACATAATCAAATTTACAAAAACAGTTATAAACTTCAATTATAGTATTCATCAGCTAAGTGACAGAAATTTTTTTGATGCTTAGCATCAAAGCAAGTCTTACTACAAACTCAAGACTGGACCTTTGCAAAAATCTATGGAAAGAGAACACAGAATTTTAAGTAAGTATTTTTAAAAACATGTATTTTATCTAACTGTATTGTGTTTATGCAGCAAGGTTTTGGTAGTGGGGGGGCTGCAAGGGTGGCTTCTGTGAGAGAGACCAGGAGTTGCTCCCATGTCAGACAGAGTCAGTTTCAGTGAGCTTCAAAATAAATTTACCACCAGTCAAAGCTGAGCCCATCAGTGATGCTGGTGGTGCCTCAGTTGACAACATGTTTAAGAAAAGGTAAAAAACACTGTGCAGCAGCTTTGAGAGAGAGCAGTGAGAAAAATGGGAGAGAAACAACGCTGCAGACACCAAGATCGGTGAAGGAGGGGGATGAGGTTCAGGGACCAGAGCAGAGATTCCCCTGCAGCTTGTGGAGAAGACCATGGTGATGTAGGTTTTCCCCCTAGAGTGCATGGAGGACCACAGTGGAGCAGATATCTACCCTGCAGCCTGTGGAGGACCCCATGCCAGAGCAGGTGGACATGCCCTAAAAGAAGCAGCAACCCATGGAGAGCCCACATAGGAGCAAGCTCCTAGCAGGAACTGCAGCTCATGGAGAGGAGCCCACACAGAAGCAGGTTTTCTGTCAGGAGCTGTGATCTGTGGGGGACCCACACTAGAGCAGTCTGTTCCTGAAGGACTGTGGAAAGGACCCATGCTGGAGCAGTTCTTAAAGAACTGCAACCTGTGGAAGGTACCCACTGAACCTGGAAAGAAGTGGGTGGGGATGAGGGGAAGGTGGCTTTAGTTTTGGTCTTGTTTCTCACGATCCTACTCTATTTTTAAATGAAAATAAATTAAATTATTCTTCCTCAATTCAAGTCTGTTTTGCTCATGACAGTAAACCAGTGAGTGATCTCCCTGTCCTTACCTTGATCCACATCAACTCTTTTTCTCCCCCTGTCCTGCTGAGGATGGGGAATGAGAGTACAGCTTGGCAGGCACCTGTCAGCCAGCCAAGGTTAACTCACCACACTAACTTCTTCACATCTCAAAATAAATAGTGATCCTTTCAAAAAACCTAAAAAATAAATTCAAATTAAAAGTGAATCACTAAATCAATCACTTACCCTTTTGATGATCACCCCAAAAACCACCAGAACAACTGGTAATAGCAGAGTCTTTGTGTATCTTACTGGAGTCTACAACAGAAATAAACTGCATTAATTGCTTTCCATTCACCCATAATTACTTCAATGGTCATTTTAAAGAAAAAAATATAAAGAGTTCTTCCTCAAGTAAAATGTAAATTTAAACATTCAACAAGAGCAAAGAAAGCTTAAAGAAACTCAAATTTAAACTCCACCTAGCAATCACACTAGAGGTCATAATACTAGGGTCATAAGTCAATTATTTCAGTTCTTTGGCAAGCCACCCAAAGATAAAATTTAGATTGTATCTGAATTTGAGTACTACGGGCTGAGTGAGCTATAAACGTTCTAAACGTCTATCTACATACTGATGAACTAAAAGTCTAACCCCACATTAAGAAGCTTTGATGCTCTTCTGTACTCTAAATCTACCACATGACCTTTGCAGCTCTCAGTACGTTTTTTTAATACTAAAAACCAGTTACTGACAGCTACATAAAAATCTTGAGTTTGCAGAACTGTAACCTTTCATTCATCCCTGAGCAAGTACTTATTTCAGTCAAGCAAGCACACTTCTTGGATGCAAAATCAAAACACTACTTTGTTTTTAGTTCATTTAAAAGCAATAAAACCAGTTAAATTTAGCTTAAGTTCATTAATATATCTAACTTCACAAGTAAGCACTTGAACTTAAGATGACAGTAGGAGGATATGGCTCTCAGATGTTTTAAGGTATAAATGAAGATAAAACAAAAAGTTCTCTCTTCTAGAATCATCTATTTTGATCCAATTACCTCTTTTTCCATGAAGTCAAACTCTGCAGCACAGGTATACATTAATGTATCAAAATCCTTGTAGCCAATAAATTTAGATTTTAATATATTTCCTATATGAGCCTGGTAGGATATACAGAAAAACAAAAGCTGAAGTAAAGCATAAACTGTCCTGTTTTCTACAACAAAGTAGTTTAAATGTATATGAGAAATATTTGTAATCAGAACAGAAGTTTATACCATTTACAATATTGTTATAAGAGCACAAAAAAGAATTATTTCCAGTATATTAAATGACATCTTTGAGCGTAACACATATTGGACTGCGTTAAATAAAAGGCAGAAAGGAGCAGAAAAAGGGTGTTACCATTGCAACTGGGTTCAACAAGAGTAAAGTTTTGCATACACATATTTTAAGATACCCCATCTTTTGCCCCTTGATGCACATCTGCAGATAGGTTTTTAACAGTAGAATCTGACAATAAAGGGGCTGAAGTGAAGTGAGGAGTCCTAGTTACAACAAGCATTTCAAAACTGTCTTAAAAATTAGCTTCAGAGGAAAGTGAACTAAGAAATTGAGTAGGTAGAAGCTATCCAAAATAAACAAAGCCCTCTAAATCCACATTTTAAAACAAACACTCAGAGCATTTATTAACTCAACAGTAAAAATATTTGTCTTTTCACAAACTTCGGTAATAACACCTCAAAGTGATAATACAATGAATGAGAAAGCAAATATACAATCCCTCTCCCATTTCTGCAAAACAAATCTTGGGATTTCAAGAAAATATATCAATCAGTAAGATGCCAAAATCAAAATACTAAGAATTAAAAAATTTTTGAAAGACAACAACCATATCCTGAGATATGAGAACTTACATCATCAGCTATGCCAAACACTAAAGAAGTTAGGTATTTCAAGGCGACTGTCCCAAATAACCAGGCACATCCTTCAATGACCTTAAAAAAATATATTCAGAATGAAACAAAAACATCTCAACAAACTTTTTTCAAAGAACCCTTTTCTTTTTTAAAAAGCTTATTAAGTTTAGCTACCAGTTACAACTCTCCTACGTTATCACCAATAAGTAATTTCTAACCAATTACACTTCCCAAATTCCAGTACACTGGGGTGTTTTAAGATGTTTTTGTATTTTCTATTACAGCTGAAAATCATTTTGTGCAACTGATTTATATATTATGGCTATACCACTGCACACGACATTGTGGCAGAAGAGGTACCAAAGTTAACTTTAAACAGGGGCAGCCTGTCAATTCCATCTGCTGTTCTGCATTGACCAGTGTGTAGTGATTATTTCCCACCAATAAACTCCCCGTATTATCAGGTTGTACTACTCCAGTAATTCAAATCTGTAGAGAAATTTGATGATTTATAATAGCTGCTCAAGATAATCTCAAATTAGAACCTGAAGGAAATATAAAGAAAATATGTACCATTACTACTTTCAGTTACATACCATGTTTATCCCTGTGCCAGAAAGATTTAATTATTGGCAATCCAGCTTAATCTAATTCTTTATAAAACTGGAACAACTGAATAGGACAACTTGGCTCAGTATCTTGTATCTGGGACCAGGAGCAGATGCTTTCAGAGAGAATATAACAACAAAATACCAACTGATTTTACCTTAATGGGACCGTGGTTTTTATGTGATGACAGGTTGCACTCAATCACCCCATTTAACGCCTGCAAATGAACCTAAATACCTAGGAGGTACCTAATCCTTTTCTGAACTCCTCTATTTTTTTTGCTTCCACAGTATCCTTCTCTCTTATAAGCTTATTGCTGCTAATATAAGGGGCACCAAATAAACTATAATTATAACCTACTTCTATTCACTGGCTTTGTCATATTTACCTTTATTTTACAAGATGTAGAATTCTAACCTATTTTAAATCTCAGCTATTTAGCAATTCTACATTAATAATTAACTTCATACTCTCTCTACTTAAATTTGATGGTAGTACATTTTAGGGGAAGGCAATATATTTCTTTAAGTAAGACACACTGACTGAGACTGTATGCAATAGTTAGGATGCTAAGTATAAGTTTACAAAACAAAAAGATATTTTCTGCTTTCTCTGCAGTTCCTTCTCCATGTCTTCCACCATGTATTTTCCTTTTTGATGCCTGCTCAGTAATTAATTGATGTGTTCAGAGAATTTTCCTAAGTATACCAGGATTTCTCTGCTGCGTGGCAAGAATTTATTTCGGATCAATTACTTTACACACATACTTAGGGTGGTGGTGTCTTCTTTTGAAAACTTAACGTTTAATCCCACCCTTTGTTTATAACCTTCTAACATCCACAACTTATCCCATGAAGCTTATTTTCTTTTATAGTTCCAGTTAGATATCTTCCCAGAAAGGTTTCTGAAATTCAAGTGCATTACATTCACCCACACACTTTTATCTACATCCTTCTAAGAAGTCAAATACACGTGCGAGGCATGACTTCCTTTTGCAGAGGCTGTATTGGACCTATCTCATTATATTACACGCACATACAACCTTAACAACTTCATCACTGTTCAAGTTTTTATTCTCTTACAAAAAATAGACTTACTGGTCTGCAGTTCCACAAATGCCTTGGATCTCCTTTTTAAAAGCTGACACGAGATTTGCCCACACTCCCCTTTCCCCTCGTACCACAGCTAACTACATTGGCAGGTTAGACATGCACGGTAGTTTGTTATAAACATTTTTTTAGCTCCTTTATATTCTAATTCTTTTATAATAACTGTATGAATGCCATCCAGTTTTGCTAACACGTTACCCTTAATTTAGTAAGAATTCCCGTCTGAAGCCAGGCATAGTCTCGGCAGGCTCCCATTTCAGGGGTTTCTACAAGTTAATGTTATGTCTTCAGCATCAAGTTGCCTCTCATGTTTTCTACAGTGTTATAATTTATTTGTCATAGTTTTGAGAGTGTCCTTCATGTTTGGTCATGACTTCTACTGCCCTCACACCCCACCCACACACCCTACAACTCCAACTTGCTTCCTTATGTAATTATAAGTTGCCCACTGGTATTATAAAAATATCCTATAAAACAAAAATAAGTCACAGTTCTTTTCTGAAATTCAAAATATATGAAATTCCTTACCCATATATAAACTTCTCTTCTGCTGCTTTTCAAGACTTTCCGACTGAATTCAAGAATACCCTAATAATAAAATGAATGTAAATTTTCAGGTAACATAGTAACAATAAGATATTGCAGAACCCTGAATGAGGGATTTTTTTTTGTTTTGGTAAGTGCCTATTGTACCACACAACTATTTATTAAAAAATCCTCCATAATTAATACAACCTGAAATATGAATGAATATATAATAATTGTGATTTCACTCTGCACTGGCAAAACATGCCAGCATAAAAACTTATTGCAGTTTATATACAATTAATGGAAGACTACTCTTCTCCTTAACAAGTCCAATTCTGTATTACACAGTTCTAAGCTTCTTTAAATCAAAGCTGATGGGAAACTGAATCACATCTGCTTCCACAATCGACAAGAGCCATCTGAAGCAATAAATAAATTACTGGCAGCATAATACAATTTTCAAGCAAGGCAACAGAATATGGGGTGGGAGGAGTTTCTGGTATTTTTCTGTTTCACATTATGTTCCTCATTTTATGACACAAGGAAGACTCATTTTATAATTTGATGAACAGTGTAACCAAGAAAAACTGAGAAAGCTTTCAGAAACCCAGTCCATATGAGAGACCGAGGCCACTATAAGCACCTAAATAACAGAAAAACAAGGAATATTTTTTCCAAAGGAGAAAATGGGAAAGAAACTCAATGTATTGTACTTACTATATAATTACAAAATGTGCTAAAAGAAACTTGAGTGGGTTCATAACAAGCAAACTATAACTACAGCAAATAGCAGCAGCCAGAGCAGCTTATTGTTAGTGTGAGAAATTACCACTATTTTGCTGATGGACGAAATATAAACAAAAGGGAAAAAAAACAACCCACTGAGCTCACCCCAAGCTTCTAGGAGAGGCAAAAAGAATCAGAAATGGAGATGATTTGTAGTACATTAAACTAGGTCTGTTCATACAATCTTCTCTCCTATTTCCTATGTACATAAATCCCTAAAGAGAAACTATATGAAACTGAAAGAGGTTGGGGGCTGTTTTTCCTATTTAAGGGAAAATTAAGATAGTGAATGATGAGATGATGAGTCTTCAGTGAATGATTTCACTAATGTGGCAGTATGACTCAGCAGTTTCAAATCATCTTAAACCATTGTTATATACGTTTTAGTCACTTGTTCTGCATTTGCAGTTTCACAATTAATAAAGAAGCATTTAAGACAAATTCCTCCTTGCTCATGTTCTTGTTTTACAATTACTCTGGTCAAGAATACATATGTGGTAAATTTTATAATTGTATAAAAGGAAGAATTCTATAAAAACAAGAGAACTGAGCCTTTACTGAATTTCTCTTATGAATTTCTCTTGGTGTAAAAACATTATTTTTTAAATTAGTATTTACCCATTCTCCAAATATCTTTAAAGTCTAATTCTGCCTGTCAGGTGAAAGATTTCTCAACTATCTGGTAATGCAGCAGTTTCATGTCGTACACCAATCCATACATAACAGCACAGCATCACAGTCTTAGCATGTCATGTGATTTTTTTCTTAAACAACTCACCCAGATAACTACTAAAGATGCAGCATAATAGGATGTCAATAACATTGAATTACCAAACATCAGAATAAAACACACTACAAGAGATGCCTGAAAGGAGAAAATAAAAATAATCAAATTTAAAACAGAAAAGGTAAGAATTGCCCAAGTATCGAAATTACCTTGTGTCAAGAGTTTTAAAACTAAAGACACCTACTTCACAGCAAATGCAAACTCAATACTCAGCTTACAGAATTGTTCTGAAAACACTGATTATAAGGACTTAATGACAACAGGTAGCCATTTGTAGATGATTATGTTAATTTATATCTTAAAAGTACTTATAGACAAAAAGATTTGGTCATAGGACTAACTCATCTTACATGATATAACAGCTACATTTTTGAAGTTATGCCTAACATATTCATTTATTTTTCAAATTATTGTGTTATTTCTCCATTCTATTTGTTGCCTTTCAGAATCCCAGACAAAATTAAATAAAATTTTCTTGTTTTCTTTCTTTCAGACTAAGAAGCATATATGTAAAATATAATAATCAGGAAAGTCAAGGAAGCAGAACTCTGACTGTTTGACCATATGCACTTAACTACATAATGTTGAAAGTCGAGGCTGAAACACAACGTTTATCTACCATCCTAATCTGCTGTGCTTTCTTTTTAATAGAAACCAAGCTGAATTACATTTTCTAACTTGGAGAGCAAAATCAATGATCAATCTCTGTCTTCTTCTATACCCAAGAATAAGGAAAAGTAATGTAGTTATTTGTAAAATACGCAGACTTTTGTACTCCCCTCCTCACACAGCTAGACTCTGATTTTCCACAGAAAAGTTGGGGGGTCAGCAAAAATTGAAACCACCAAGAAACAAAGACTGGTAGTTTACCCAGCCTTATTAAGCTTTCTCTGTAATATAATGAGATTATCTAGCTGAAAATAAGTTTTTTATGACACTTTGGCACCAGAATTTTTATACAGCTACTGAGATAAGCCAAAAAACTTAAGTATTTCATCCTGCTCCTGTCAAAAAATTACAAAACCAAGATGCTTGTTTGCAAATTTTCCTGGTAAATCTGACTGGGAACAAGCATTTGGCATCCCAGGTTTATATCAGAAATGAGTTGCATATAACTTATTACTGCCTTTAATTCATCATTTACAGTATTTCAAAGTACGTTTGAAAACATATGAAAAGCAATTTAGCTCAAAGCTTCTTTCCTATGGTAAACATTCTCTGTTTGCCCACTGAGTTTGCATAGCACAATTTCAGCAAAAATTTCTTTTTGAAGACAACCATATTTCTTCAAAAAAGTTGTTTATAACTTCTTGTATATTTAAAACTATGATCTCACTTCAAAGAGCAAAACTCCTGGTAGCAAAACTTGATAATAACCTAACTTTAAAAATTAAAATCAGGTATATTATGCAGAAACTTACAAGTCTTTTCTCCTGCATAATCTCCTTCCTTTGTTGACTTTCTCACTTATTGTTGAAAAAACAGTTTTTCCTCAGACCAGTAGTTTATTTTCTTTGTCCTCCTTGCTAATTATCTCCCCAAATATTTGAACCACAACATCTTTGCATGGTCAAGACTAAAACGCAATTTTAGTTGGGGTTCTTAAATACTCAAGAGTCTATTCTCTAATTTTGACTTCCTATCATCTCATTTTTTTGTTTTTGCTAAGCCATGGCATGAGACAAATGCTGCCTTTTCAACTTTTTATTGCTCATGCTCTATTACTTGGTATGTTTCCTAGTCTGTTGGTTGAGACAGTATCTTCAAGTTCACAGAATGAATAAAGACAGAAAGGAGAAGCAAATATTTGTGCAAATCTTTTAGGTTGATAATTTTTCTGGAGTTCAAAAATTCCTGTGTACCACAGGGATCACAGTTTCTGACACTGTAATATAAATATATATAAGATCAAATATTCAAATCCAGGCCCCTCCATCCCTTATTACTGGATCTTTTCAACCATCTTGCAACTAAAGAAAACACTTCAGACAAATGGCCTCTTTTGATGCTCTGACTTGTTTGAGGGGATTTAAGGTTTTAAAAAAAAGTATTACCATATGAGCAAAGATTATCTTCTGTAATTTGCAGGAGTCAACATAACCCATAATACACACAGCAAATAGTGAAGCTATCTAGAATCAAAAGTGAAAGATAAATTAAAACAATTTGCAGTGGTGTATTCTTTCTAGCAGAACACACATTCATACAAAAAAGTGATTATTCAAACAATCATTAACTTTTATTGCTATTTTTTTTGCTAAGTATATACTTTACTTCATAATGGTTTCATTCAAAAAAAGATTTAATAATGGTTTCTTTCAAAAAACCTACTGTGGCACTCTGAATAACAATTACCAAACACATTCAAATATTTAAGAAATAAGTATTCAGCTTTATAAAAATGCAAGTCATCAAAACAAAGCACTAACATATCATCCTTCACCTTTAGATTTAAAAAAAAAAAAACAAAACCAAAAACGTAATTCATTATTTAACCTTAACTTTTCAGCAAATTATAGGAACATCCATAATTTGCTGATCGGGAAAATTAGATTCACTGATTAAGCTGCTTGATAAAAGTCACATGGGAAATTAATGAAACTATTAATTGAACCTGTAATTTCAAATTTCAGGCCCAGCATCTTAAACAGCTTATACTGATGAGTTTCTCTTAATATTTTACAGAATTTAATGGCTTCCTCTTCTGCAGTAGAAAACTTTCATACCACACCATATATTGATTTTTTAAAACTATTAACTCAAACCAAGCAGTTTTGGTTATCTGCTTTAGGTAAGACAGACAAGTGAAAAAGTTTGGAGACAGAGATGGATTTCAATCATCAGGCTACATTTCAATCAGTTTAAACACTTAAGAAAGTGTGCTGTATGACAGTATCCTACTGCTCACATCAGCATTTACTATATTTCAACACTAGCTAAAGGTACCTCAACTGTCCAAACTCTCGAGAAAGACAGTAAGATTATGACACTACTCACAGGCTCATCAAAATTAAATAGGAAATCATGCAAAACCATGCCAGGTATTACATGCCATGCAAATATTGCTCCATTTAAAAACTTGGAAGAGCCTAAAGTGATGCAAGATCAATGCCTTTTTAATTTTTTATACTTCAATATACAAAGTTTTTTCTTGTTCTGCACTTGTTCTAATGTTCTAGTATTTTTATATTTTTTTTTAGCCCTGGCAACAGAAGACTGAGTGGTGTAAATGGTCAGCTTTTACATCTAAGACTAGAAAAACATTGATGTGATAAATGGTATGAATCTTTCCTGAGAGCAAGAGTGAAATCTGGCTACAAGAAACCACAGGTACAGTTGTGAATTCAATGGCTGTCTAAACAAAGCAGTCAATTTGCCTAGATAAGACCAAGAGGCTATTTAGAGGTGAACATGGTCTTACCTGTGTTAGAAGAACAAACTGAGCAAACTGCCAGGGAAGCATGAAAAAGATATTAGAAACACACAGTGCAATCAGGCTTCCTGTATTAATATTCGGAACCCTTGGGAAAAAGAGACAGAATAGGCATCAGTAAGTAAAATTACACAGGTGTTTGCATATTATTGAAAAGTACAACAGTGAATGCAATAAAACCAAAGTTACCTTCGAAGTTAGCTACCAATATTGATCAACTACAGATAACACTGCTCAAGTAAATTTAATATCCATTTTCTATCAGTTTTCAAAAACAATAGCTCTGATGCTTTATGATTCTTAACTATTTGATGAATCACTCCTTATCAAACAAGCCTTCTCCTGGCAGCATCTAATGTAGCAGGCCAACCTATGTCACTTGCAGTGGTCCATCTTCTTGTAACAACTCTACAATCGGGTCACAACCAATTCCACTTCAGTTAGGATCACAACTATTCTGAGAACAGTCTGCATTTCAAAGTGATTTCACTCCTCTCTCACATTTCTTCCATATTTACTTTCTGCAACTTTATGCTAGCGATCCTGAGTGAGGTTTCTGAGCAGGAGACAACGACAAATACATGAAACTCATCTTTAACTGAAAACAGCTTATTCTCTATGTCCTGCTCTAAGTGTTATTTATTTAATCCAGTGATAGCTTCAAGTTCACTTCAGAAACATGACATGTTTCAAATTTTACTAAGCAGCCTCCAACAGATGAAGACACCATAAATATTCTGCTGTAAAACCCAAACCCAACAGATTACAGCAGTCTCACCAAATTCCGTAAAACTTGCTTCAGCTTCAAAGCATCATGATTAACTTCTATGGGAAGTCAAGCTGAACATGAGTACAATGTATTAAAGTAATACATTACACAAATGTGATACAAGGGATAGAAATAACAGATAATTTAAGTTCTAATCTCTCTTTCAAAGATAGTTCCTACATTTCATTGCAATACTGCTATACATAAAACAGAGCTGCTCTTGAAGCAGGAATTATAACTGAGAAACAGAAAGTTAAAATGCTTTCTCTCCTTTTTGGAACCTTGCTCTGACATGCTTAGATTAAATATCTACTTCTCATTAGTAAGCAAGCCCAAGTACTATTTGACGTTCCAAAATCTGAAGAGTAGTAGTGAATCTATATAATCAAGAAGTGTCATAATTACAGGTACAGAATATATATGCTCTCATCACCCTAACTTAAAGTGTAATTTCCTCGTATTTGTTTGACCTCACAATTTAGCACTAAGTAAACAGGTGTCTTTCTAATATGAAACCTAGCAATGACTCTACAAACTAGTCCTCAAAATATTTTTCTAGACAGCATGAATCTTCTTCTCACCTAAAAAACACAAGTTAGTGACGAGCACAAAATATTTTTGGTTTAATCATTAGTAACTACAAATCAGTATGACCTAATAAAGGAAAAATCAGGGGTTACAAGTACAAAGTCCAGCTAAATCGTAAATGCGCTGCAAATCTGATGCAATGAAGTTGATGGAAAGGTCCTCAAGTATTAACGATCATGCTTATTTATCAAAACAGAGGCAAGACTGTAACACAATCACGTCGCAAGCCAGAAACAACCACTGAAAAGCAGGGCTAATGAACTCAAGAGCAGCCCTGCATTAATGTAATTAGATTGCTCTAAATCATTGAACTAGTTAATTAGACTAGTTAATTAGTCACAGAAAACTGAAAGAGCATACTAACTTATGGGTGCCTATAGCATCCTCTGCTGCATACCATAGGCTTAGTCTAAGTGCAACCAACACACCACTCTCCAAGAGGGACAAAACCCATTGATGGAATATCAGCTTGTTTCTCACGGGAAGGAAGTGACATCAACCAAAAATTCTGATTTTTAGTTTAGATACATATTTGCCAACACAGTAATTCTGATTTTTATTTTAATCATGTCTTCAAGTTGCAAAGTTTTTCCTTTTAATAAGTAATTAATATGACTGCAGTTCTACTGGTGCAGCGTCTGGAAAGTAACAGCCACAGGAAAGTTTCTATGTTAATGGTATCATTGCTACAGCACAGAGAGGCACTTAAATTAAAAATGCATTTAAATAAATGTCCTGTGACAGTCCATTTCTTAAATTATTGTAAAGAGCTAAGTATAAATTGAGAGGTACCTGAGAATATAGGTCAAAAGCAACATCTGAAGCACAAGGAATGGGTATGAGAAACTTTCACGAAGAGGTGGAGTCCACATGACGCGAGTGCACTGAAAATAAGAACTAGGTTAGGTGATAACATTTGCTTCTACATTTCCATCAAACAATGCATTTGTATTTCAAAATTAATAACCACAGACACTTCAAGAAAGCAAAAACCAAGCGACATGAGATTTTACTCACAAACTTAAGAAGCCAGGAAGTGGAAAAGAGGAGGAAAAAGGAAGTGGCTTCCAGACTTGAGGTCTATGATGCACTGTTTAATTAAAATAGATCACTGCTTTTCCAAAATTGAATGTGGCAGCTAGAGAACATCCAAGAAAAAAAACAACAAAACAGGACAGCACCTGCTTGTCCTTGCTTCTGCTGAAATTAACAACTCATTCAGGTGACGAAAACCATCCTCAAATTCAGGCAGTAACTTGCCACAATTAGATGGAGAAAGTGTGTGGGAAGAGGACCTGAGGGATAAACTAAAATACTCTTCATTATGTAAGAGATCTCTAGGTTATAAACATTTCACATTTCAACAGCACAGGAAGTATAAAATCCAAAGCTGCCCTCCAAAACAGGCCAGTAAAATTAAACACATGAAATTAAGCTCTTACAGAGTTTATACTAACTTACATACTTCACTCTTTAACCTTAAAACGCAAAGCATAATACGATGAAGCCAACTGAATAGCTTTTTCATTAATTTCCAGGGGTCATGGCAAATGGCTCAGCTATAACTATCATCTCCAGTGTTTATATTCAGCTCTTCATAAAGTGCTTGTAGATGGCACTCATCATCAAACAATAATTAGAACTTCACAGGACAACTTTGACATACAAACAAATGGGTTCAAAATGGCTATCAATAGATTTGCACTAAAAATTAGAAGTAGGTTATTTACAACTACAGCACAAAAATGTAGTTAATCTTAATATGGACCATAATGAATCTATGAAAGCTTATAGCATGTTGATGCCAGGATATTCTTTCTCTTCCTATAATCTTAAAATGATTTTTTAAAATGCTGTTTTACCAAAAAAGTCACTAGAATGAACATTCTATAATTCCTTGCTATTTCACAAATATGTTAAATTAATAGTGTAAAATAAATATGTAGAAAGTCTAAAGTAAATGCAAAGTACAGAAGCCCATCACATTAATCAAGCACAGTCCCTGCTGTCTAAAAGCACTCTCTGTAAAAGCTGCACCCTGATTACTATTAAAGTAAGTTTTTCATAAATATATACACACTAATGTGTTGTCTTCAGCTGACTGCACAGAAGTGATTAGTTAAAATTATTTTTATTAGCAACAAATATAATCATGATTAGATTTTAAAGTAGTGTAGTCTTTTTGATTATTTTTCAAGACTAAAGCGACATCTGATTTACCAAATCTTTTGATACTGCAGGAAACAGACCAGAAAGAAATGATGAGCATACACAACCATAAAAAGGAAGCATTACATTAAAAGTGGATTGACTAATGTAGGCTATGCTATTTTTCTATATTTAGAATGTAATACTAAACTCAATCATCTGTGGATGATTTATCAAGGCTGTAAACTAACTTTGCTGCAGGTATAAATACATCAGATCTGCCAAAGCTTGAAATCATTAAAACACAGTAGCACAAGCACAGCACAAATAAAAACATACTGCCTTGAGAGTCATCAGCTCAACACTAGAAGGCTAACCACTTTGACACAGCATTACACCTCAGATATCAACACTTGCAGATCAGACTTATTCATGTAGCTCAGGTTCTATCCTTCCAGAAAAGGAAAACAATTAGCAACTGGTCTCACTCCACTGTACTTGCTGTTGAACCACATGCAAGATGATTTCCACAGGATCAAAGGCATATTGAAGAGTTAAATAAAATAGCTTTTTTGTACATACACACGTGCATGCACATCCCTTGTATGTGATTCAGCAGTATGCACAGTGAAGCTAAACCACCTACATACATGTAATTATACCACCACATCATATTATCAGAGCTCTATATACACAACAATATCAAACAACTTTCAGTTATTTCATTAGGTACAGCACAAATGCAAAGAGCCATCTGAGATCTAACATTGCACCTCTGCAGGTAAGTCTTCCTGCTCTTCAGAAAACCACACAGCTGAGCCTGAATCAGCATCATCCTACTTAAGCTCTACCTAAGACCAGATACGCCTGTGTAGAGCTCTGCAGCCCTGATTTCATGCCATTGTCCAAAATAGACACATTATCTGTGTTTTTTCCACCAAGTCAGGTCATCCACAGAGAGAGATGAGCTCTCCTACAGAGTCTCCTATGGATAGGAGAACTACCTGTGCCATAGTGAAATAAATGCTTCTTTTCATTATTGCTACCACAACCTTTGAAGTTTTCAACTTCTTCCTTTCTGAAGTTACACTTTATCACCTTCACAGACTTGGCAAAACAGGATGTAGTCTATCAGTATTTCCTAGCAAAGGATAAAATATTCACTTCAGAATGCCATTAAGAAGAATAGATACTCATATAAAACTTCATATTTACCCTCTTATAGTACCAAAAAAAGTTTAGAAATTGTAATGTTTTCCTGGTCTGGACCAGGTACTTAACATCCATGGGAGAAAATTCTTCATGGAGGATATTTAGAGAAAAACATTTCAAATGAAACTTAAAATAAAATAGCTATTAATCACAGAGATTTTTGTTTTATAAGAAAACTGTCAAAGCTCACTCTGAGTAGAAGAATTTTTGATTCTTATATACAGCTACAGATTCTTACTACTCAAGAGTTTTCTATCAAGTTCAGCTCAGTAAAATAAGAAGACAAAACATAACTTTAAGTCTTAACAAAATCATAAGGTAGCTAGTTTCCATCTAGAAAATCTTTACAGTACAGCTACATTTTAAGTAAAATAAAACAATTTCTATAAATTTATATAAATAAAATGAATATTAAAAAAAACCAGAAATACTGCCCAAGGGTATCAGAATAAATGCTCTGAATTTTCTTCCAAAATATGAAAGAATGATATGAATAGCATTAGCTGGGGACACAGGGAGATGGTTTAAGTGACTGTTTGTTTTTTCTCTTTAATGCAGCTTACTAAAGTTCAGTATTGGAATTCTCTATATACATATGCAGTTTCTAAATTCTGGCGCTTTTTTTGCTTGTTTTTGTTTGTTTGGGAGGGGTTTTTTGTGTGTGTATTAATTTCCAGTAAAATAAACAGCAATTTAAAGGAAACCTTGTCCATTTCTGAAGCTTGTTCATATGGTACATCTAGCTTAGTTATGTCTGGAACTAGCACAGAAATAGATTTTTTTTTATGTTTTGAAACTTGAAGTCTTTGTGGTACTAAGATTTCAATCTCAGGACCACTTTACAATATATTCCCTTCTGAATTACTATTGTTTTTTAACATCTAACGTGACACACTGGACTGTGTTATATACTTTTGAGTCATAGCCTATTTTGCTTTCAATGATGTCTTATTCCCTTTACATTCATCCCCTAACAGATAAGCAACATCACTATCTTTAGTGAAATGAGAATTAGCTTAATTTTTATTTTATTTTTTTAAAGAAAAAAGGGACATGAGTAGGGGAGGGAGACCTACCTCTCCATGGTTGAAAAAGAAACACATCACAGTAACAAGGCCCCCCAGACGGCTCCCACTGTGAAGAGAATATGAAAAATAGGTACAACAGAATTTCATAAGGTCAACACTGCTTAAAAAATGTGAAGTGGCACTTAAGTACAGCTGAGTTTATTGAGGGGAGGGGTGGGGAATGCTTTCAAGCATCAAGGGAAAGCAATCTACAGTGTACATAAAATATTAAAATACTAGTTAGTCAGCTAATGTTTATTTCAGAGCAGACCACTCTTCATATATCGGCTCATTTTGCAGAACACCAATTTTAACGTAAATAACTTGGAAAACAGTTATTCTACCCCTCACAAACTTTGGTTTAGATTACTACAACTGGTGCTTTAGCTGCTGTACCCAGAGCCTGGTCTAGAAAAGTGCCAAAGTTTTGTTTTGTTTTGTTTTTTAAATTTGCATGCTCAGTCACCCAACAATGGGGGAATTTTGGCTTCAATCTAAAAGTATGTTTAGGGTAATCAAATCAAGCATGTTCAAAAAACATATAAAAATTACTTCCTGACATGGTCAATACAATTTAATTCTTATGTGAAATATTGCAATGTTAACACGGTTTTTAAGCCCTTGACTTAAGGATTTTTATACATTTCTAAACCAATCAAATTTGCCTGTTGAATAATTAGCACCATGGACTAACATTAAAACCAAAGATACTACTCAGATTTATCCCATCTCAAAACAGCAATAGATAAGGCTCCTCTTTGTTTGACTAGATTTGTAGTTATTCATGTCTTGTGATATAAAGCAAGGAATGTTTTTTGTGCACACAAGTGCACTACAACTATGAATGACAAAATATACCATTTTTGCTGCTAAGCAAAGTATCAGCCAGCTGTTAAGATTCTTTAAAAAAATCTCAGATCCTCTCAGATCCTTCACCCACCACTAATATACAAGTCAAACAGAATCAGTAAGTTCTGGGTACAATATCTGAGGATTAAAAACACCAACTAAGTGCTAAAACAATCTCCAGGAACTGTGCATTCTTGCACGTAAAATTCAACCTTTCATTCCACAACTGAATGAACACTGAAACTCAAAATGACTAAAAGAATGTGCTTCATATCAAAAAACGTTAGTCTGCGAAACAAAGCAAACTAGAAATTTGCAAAAAAACCCACCCAAAACCAGAAACAAAATTCAAGGTCTATGTTAAAGGTTAACATTGTGTTAAAACCTTAAAAGTCTAGAATACAAAGGTCTTAATTGTATTGTGAATGCTTCAGAGCTATCAGCCTCTACAATGGATAATTATTTTACCACGTGAGAAAAGATCAGTAAGTCTATAGCAAAGAATAGGTAAATGCACTTCATTAGTATCCTTTCCTGAAAATTAAGTGATCAGGGCCTGTTTCACAGAGGGTTACACATAGAATTGAGTTAGCCTGGTTATCTTCTAAGAGTGCAATGCTATCACATAGGAGATACAGTAGTTAAGTCTTTCTATGCCAATATAAGGGATAAAGGATAACTCTTTCCACTGGAACTCCTATATCATACTACAATTGGTGAAGTACATGTCCTTCAGTTGGAACCTACTTTCCCCATGTTTAACACAGAACAATCTAAATTTAATAATTAATTAGAATTTTTTAAAGAACTGCAGCTGACCCAAACAGTTATACTTTGTCTGGAATAATGGAAGATATATCTTTTGACTCTCTGCATACAATAAGCTGAAGCTTAAAGAAAGTCACATGGGGAAATGCTGTAATTCATTGTTGATTAACATGTAAGAAACAAAATACTGTAAAAGTACTGTCAGAAGGAGATATGGGAAATTTATTGGTAGTTCCTCAAGATGCAGTATTTGACAATCAGCTCAAGTATTCTATCCCTTGACTAGAAGAATAGAGGTGGGGAAGCCTGGGGGGAGGCAGAATCTTACAATTGCATAGAGTACTTATCATCAAATGCCATTCCTTTGTCCATTTAAAAAAAAAATTACAAAAAAAAAATTAAAATGGCCTGAGTTCTCAGCATATTGCTTCAGTTATCTTAACAGAGAATGCTCCAGAGCTTGAGAATAATGTGCATCATACAAGAAGACTCTCAAGTGCCTTTGCATAACTAGAGGCTGTACACAGAGGGCTAGGGCAGGGATGTACTACGTCTGGTAATCTCACCTTGTGGGGAAATTGGTTAAGGGAGATAAACAGCAAAATTTCATCCTACAAAAGGAACTAGGTTTCTGTTAGCTTAACTCTTTGAACAAGCTCTTTATATAGAGTACAGCAAGTACAGATGTGAGAACATATGCTAGCTTGGAAAATAATGATAAGAAAGTGGTCTTCCACTACCCTATCACCTTACATCACTAGTCAAAGTAGCAAAGAGACTAACAGCAAATAAAGACTGAAATAAAAAGATTACACATTATATGAATATATAAAAAGACAAAAAACCTAGAAAAAACAATTAGGTAAGCTTGAGATGATTACTGCTAACACATCCAGGAATTAAAAGTTAGAGAAAATATTAGAGGATGGTTTCTCACCATCAAATGAGTTCAGGCTATGAAAAAGCCTTTCAAAAGGCATAGCAGAAACAAAATGTCTCTTTCAGCTGTACGAAGGAGACTTATGCCAATTCAGATATCATAAGATTACCCACTTCACTGTAGTAGAATTGCATTGCTCCAGATTAATTTATTTTATCTTTCATACTTTATGGAAAAGCCTAAAGATTCTGGCTTGCTTTGACTAAAAGGAACCTTGGAACAGCCATAATGGCTAGGTTGTCATCTGACATTGCACATTATTTGTATTAAAAACTGAGTTACTATCAATACTTGATAGTTATTTACATTCAACACAGCCCAAGTCTAAGGAAAGTCCTGAGAAATTAAGACCTTAGTCATTTTTTCAATGACATTAATATATAAAATGTGGGTTTCCATAGCCCTGCCTTAAGAGAAAAATTACAGCTCAATGATACGAATATTCAAACTTTATCTACTTCCTCAAAACATGAGACATTAATTTCCTATGTTAAGGAATACAAACATATATGCTTTACCCCCAAACATCTAATAGTTGCACTAGGGAACTTCCTCTTTTCATTGTCAGCTCCTGCCCTGCACTATTGTTTATTTCAACTATCAGCACAATACAGAGAGAACATGAAAAAAACCACAAGACAGTGAAGCCAGGGAATGAGGGGGAAAAACAATCACACCTCTCAGAGGTAAATGTAGCAGCCTTTTGTTTTTTTGCAAAACTGGCAGATGAAAATAGAGGTAAACAAAAAAATATTTCACTTCTGTTTTTATGATGGATGTGGAGTCTATTTATGTACAAAAGTGTATTACAGTTCCTGAAATTTAAGGACAGATACTGAAAACAGAAATTCATAGAAAAAGGGAAGTGTATACATATCTCCAAAAGAATGCATTATCTTAACAAACATTTTGCCTTCTCAGTTAAGGTAAAATTGAAAGACATGCAATGTGATTTGAAGCAAAGCACTGGGAAAACTCCAATCTTGGTTAAAAGTACACTGTCATTCAAACTTAGTTTAAAAATGAGTTACACTGCTAACTTTAGGAGCAGAAACCTATCATAAGCTGTCACCATTTATTTTAAGCAAAAAGCTTCTCTGTTACAGTAATTTTTTTAGTGACAATGTAAATGCAAAAAAAAAGCACTACTACTGTGCAAACAAATAAGCAATATTCCATAAAAATATTCTAGCAATCACTTACTCAAATTTCATATAAAACCTGACAGCTAGTACCAACTAAATAGCTCAGTCTCAGCTGCCTTACCTGAGGTATGTACCGTATATGAAGAACAGTGACATCATTAATCCATTCAAAAGAAAAATCACAGCAACATAAAAGGAAGCGGGGTCTCCCAAGCCTAACAAATAAACAGTTAACACATGTTGTCAAATGTAGAAGTAAAATCACATTGCTTCTAAACCACCATACAATCAGTATCATAAAGCACACAGCATAACACTTTAATATATCTACAGAAAGAGATTACAAAAACAAAGTTAATTTCACCAACAGTATTGTGGAGATTAAACTGTAAGACTACACTTTTGAGGAGAAAAAAAAGAAGGGGGAAAAGCCCTGGGGCAGTCAGCAACAGAATAAGCCAAGAGGGAAGCATTAACGGTAAAGAAAAAACCTGCCATGTATAGATAAAGACAAGCATCACTACGAACATTCTCTACTGACAACGTTTTGACTTCACAGAGCCTTTTAGAACAGGTTTGTACTCCTTATACTCTCACTTCCAACCTTTAAACATATCACACACAATGCTTTTTGTTTTCAAGAGAAAAGCGTGGCCAGCAGCTTCAAGAGAAGCGTGGCCAGCAGGTCGAGGGAGGTGATTCTCCCCCTCTACTCTGCTCTCGTAAGGTCCCACCTGGAGAACTGCGTCCAGTTCTGGAGCCCCCATCACAAGAGAGACCTGGAGCAGCTAGAACAAGTCCAGAGGAGGACACCAGGATGATCCAAGGGCTGGAGCACCTCTCCTACGAGGACAGGCTGAGAGAGTTGGGGCTGTTCAGCCTGAAGAAGAGAAGGCTCTGGGGAGATCTTATAGCAGCCTCCCAGTACCTGAAGGGGGCCTACAAGAAAGCTGGGGAGGGACTTTTCCTAAGGGCAGTTAATGACAAAACAAGGGTAAATGGCTTGAAGCTGAAAGAGGGGAGGTTTAGATTAGATATTAGGAAGAAGTTCTTCACTGTGAGGGTGGTCAGACATTGGAACAGGTTGCCCAAGGAAGCTGTAGATGCCCCCTCCCTGGAAGTGTTCAAGGCCAGGTTGGATGAGGCTTTGAGCAACCTTGTGTAGTGGAAGGTGTCCCTGCTGATGGCAGGGGGGGTTGGAACTGGGTGATCTTTAAGGTCCCTTCCAATCCAGATGATTCTATGACCCTTTGTTTCATTAGGAGCCAACTGATTTTCCAATAATGCAAATCTTTCCATTTATTCATTCACAAATACTCCCGCATTCACACTTCTGTTGTTATTCTTTTTCCCATTATTTCTTTAAACCCTCCTGGCTCTAATCATTTCAGCAATACAGCAGAAAAAGCCTTACACATTATAGAGAAGATAAAAAAACTTCAGTTTCATATGCAGAAATGATTCACCATTGCTAAAAATACAGGAAGACAGTTCTCTAAAGGTGACGATATGCTCACCAAACACAGTGGCCTCAATAGTTGGTGTCTTTGTTGGTTTGGTCTGTTGGTTCTTTGGTTTTGGTTTGGGTTTTTTTGTTCTGTTTTGGGGTTTTTTTTTTACAAAAAAATGAAAAGTTCTACATTTATTCACTGTTTATTGCTTCTGACAACATTAGAGAAAGTGAATCATTCAAGCTTTGAAGAAAGTTCTTATAGCCTTTATGCAAAGGAAAAATACTAACTTGTCACCACATAAAGACATTTTAAATGATAAAATGAAACAACTTCACAAGCTACCATCTATCATTCAGCTTTAACTGACTGTAGAACATCCCAAAAGTGTTTCTCAGCAGGATACTTTTATCACATAATACTCACTTGACAGGCCAATATTTTAAATGTGGAGAAAAAAAAAATCCCAAGTAAGTGGCAATGTCCAAACTTTGATATCAAAATCAGGGTATAAGATTGAAATTCTTAACGCTGAATAGCAGGTCACAAGTGGAAGAGGAAAATTCCCAGCAGAATTACTACACAAGATTTCTCCAAACAGGAGCCTTGTGGTTATCTTTTTCCCCTTCGTCCCTGCTCCTCATGTTGTAGTCAGGGGAGGAAATACAAAGGGTAAGTTTTTGAAATGTAGGAACTTGGAACACATTGGGGATTCCACAGAAGCTACAAAAATTTAATGCATCTACAGTGGCCTCCAGTTACATTTAGGACATCCTGTTCTTTATAACAGTCCAACATTATGAAGGCTCAGACTACAACTTTGAAGTTTTGAAGTGCAGTATAGGAATTCAACCTAGGTAAGAGGAGCTAGCTATTAAGGAAAGCCCACGTTCTCACCCCTGGTGTTCTTAAAGGCATCATTTTTTTCATGCTTCTCACTTATGTTGTGAACCTGCCAAAAATACAGGTTTATCCAAATGAAAGCACATCACTGATAAAGACACAAGAATATTTATTACTTCTAGAATACGTAAAGCCACCATTATATGCTTCCAGGAAAAAACTAGAATAAAACCAAACTCACCCTCACAGCTTTCCACAGGACTAAGCCCTTTTCCTCTGTTTACAGTCCAACATGTCTTTGTCGGTACACCAAGGAAATCCATAATGGTGGTATATATACGGTACCAGCTGGCAAGGACCACCTAGGTGGAAAACAGGATTTGAAGTTTCTGAAAAGGAACTTTGAGATTAGCTCAACGCCCAAGGTAACCTCTCATGACAACTGGCTCTCATCCAGGACTTTTTTTATACTCAGAATTGATCTCAACTACTTAGCACTTTTGACTGTAATTTCCTAAAGCCATTCAGCGTAGACCAAGTGGTCATTAATAGACTAAAATTATGCCTGCTTTAGAAGAGAAATGATTTCATTATTTCATGCATCAAACTGCAATACTTGGAAAAATTATACATTTCAATATTGTCTAAAAGGTTCTCTATTTAACTACATTTGTTTATCAGGTATTAAAATCATTGATTCTGTTGACAGAGGACAGTTAGCAGAATTAAATCCATTAAAACCAACTACTTTTTTTCCCCCCCCACCTGGCAAGAATATTAATGGACCAAATCTTCAGGGTTTTTACTGAGATAAAGTTTGGCAGATTAAATTTAAGCGTGCATTAAAAAGAGCTTCTAGATGCAATGTAAGACAGCATTTCCATTTTCCATGCTAAGGTTGTAATGTTCTTATAACAATCACCAAATTAAATCTCAACACTCGACACAGAAAACACTAGTATTTTACATACAGAAAAACGATGATTTATCTCACAGCAAAGTCACTAGTTAACATTACCAAGCTATTCTGTCAGGATACAACTGACTTTATAGAGTTCATAAATGAGTAATGTGGCCATTCTAGTTGAGCTGCTTTGAAAGTTATAACCCAGGGGTTCCCAGACTGAAAATATGTTTCACCACTGCAATATCAGCTGTCTCAGCCCTGTGTCACAGGAAACATGTACAAGAAGGATGATTCCCTCTTTTCTTTCCCCATGCAATTAATAAAAATCTTTATGTTACTTCTATCTTCAAAAAAGGCAAGCAGGAAACAGGGAATTACACCTTGATTTCTGCGAACATGATGGAGTAAATCCTCCTGGAAACCTCTTGCAAATATATTAAGGACAAAAACGTGATTGGAAGTAGTCAGCATGGATTTACCAAGGGGAAATCACGCCTGCCCAACTTCATAACCTTCTGAGATTAATGCCTTGGTAGATGAGGGGACAGCTGTGGATTTTTTTTTTCATCTCATTTCTTCATTTCAATTCTGTTCTACATCTGTCTTTAGACTAGATGATGGCACAACAGAACATCCTCAGCAAGTCTGCACATGATATAAAACTGGAAGGAGTGCTTGATGCTTGTGTTGCCATTTGAAGGGACCTCAACAGGCTAGAAAAATGAGGCAACAGTAATCTCACAAAAGGCAACAGGAATCTCACAAACTTCTGCAGCAGGGAGCAACAAGACCATGCACCAGTACAGAGAGGAGCTGACCTGCTAGAAAGGAGTTTTGCAGAAAAGGACCTTTGAGTCCTGGTGGACCAGTTGTCCTTGAGCCAGCAATAAGCCCTTGCTGCAAAGAAAGCCAAATGTATCCTTGGTTTTATGTCACCAGGACAAGTGAGGTGGTCCTTCCCCTCTACTCAGCACTGCTAAGACCATATCTCCAGTGCCAAGTCCAGTTCTGGGCTGTCCAAGACAAGGACATACAGTAAAGATGACTGAGACAGACTCTTCAGTTGACAAGAGACAACCACAAATTGAAATAGAGGAAATTCCACCTATATATAGGAAAAAAACTTTGAGGGTAGTCAAACACTGAACAAGGTTGCCCAGAGGTAGAGATACTCAAAATAAAACCAGAGATGGCCCTGAGCAACCTGCCCTACTTCACCCTGCTTCAGGCTGAGTGTTGAGACAAGACAATCTTCAGACATGCCTTCCAAACTCAACTGTTCTGCAATTCTATGATTAATTTTTAATACCAGGGTTCCAACTATCATGGCTTACTTCATCTGTGGTCTTTACAGTCTCACAATGTAAGTCTTACATATTTAAAATGCAACTACATCTTCCTAGAAGACTCCCTGCCTCAGTATTCTGTCCTGCAAAGTACACTATCTTGAATTCCTGGAGGCTTTCTGAACACCTGTGCCCTGGCACTTCGGACTGTGCACGTGCACAGAGATGAACCAGACATGTGCCCCATCTCCAGACAGGCAACAACAGGACTGGGGAACCAAATCCAAATCTTTCCTCCTATCACCTGAATGTGGTTTGTACACTGCCAACAGATATGGCAGGTCAGAGACATCTGTCTAGCATGTCTGCATGACGAGCCCTGAAGCTGATGTTACTCTCAGCACAGAAAAGATTCTTGCTGAACAAATGTTGCACAAAAAAACCTTATTGTGAAATTTTATTATAAATAATATTTATCAATTTAATGTTTTTATGTCACAAGTGCTCGTGTCTGCTGCAGATATTTCCACACATGAATACTCCCTAAAAAGGTACCAGGTTAGGTACTTCATACCAAACACAACAACATTTTTTTCCCAAAAGCTACTTTACATGAAACAGTTAATACAGGCATAAAAACAATAGCAAATCAGTAGCACAAAACTGCTAGGTCAATTAAAACACAAGGCCATTTGTGGAATTCCTAATGTCCCATACCAGATGAGGCAGTAAATGCAAACCTTGGAAAACAAAAGACTGGCTCTCAGACAGTCAATCCCTTTTCCTAGTTGCTTTTGAGTAAGCACTTTACTGCCAATTATGCAACACTCATCACTCCAGCTCAAATTTTCATCATCGCTGCCACACACAGAAATATCAACTGCTCTGTAACGATGACAGCCAGAAAGTAAACTTCACAGATTATCTCTCTGCCACTTTGCATCATAGATGAAAACAACTATGCAACTACTGGAACAACTTGACTATGCAGCAAATACCAGGAAAATCAAGATTTTACTGGGCCTATAACACTGTACAACTACAAAGACTGACTTGTTGCTTTTGACAGATTTTTTTTTTACTGCTTTTATCATTTACACAGACTGTAGTGATCGCTACGGACTCATTTTACCTTTCTTTTTCCTTCTTTTTAAGTTTTCATGGCTAGTACTGGCTGTACATGCAGGTGAATTGTTCTACTTTTCTTAATGGGTTTAACATACTGTTTAGCAACTGGATTTCAAGGCTAATTTTGATGCTAATTTTGATATCCACTAAATAAAAAATATTTTTTATTAAAATTCAGCCTTAGTGCTACCATTGGGCTGAAAGAGCTGGAAAGATCCTAAAATATCAAACAGGAAATGAAACACTGCCAACAAATAAATACACAAGCAACTTCCCACCACTGAGGCCCACTTTAATCACAAGGAAAATTAGATAAATTGGGAGAACATACTTCAAATGTCAAGTTGCACCTACTGACAATTTTATAGATGTAGTTAGGTGGAAACAAGAATATTAAAGAAATACAATTTAGAACAACCCACTATTTGCAGGAAGTCTAGACATCAAGCAGAAGATGACTAAAAGGAAGATACTATTTGCTTTGCATGCCCACACAGGCACAGAAAAGATGAATGAATTCATATCTTATCACCAAGTTCTGAGCCAGTAAGATCCTAGAAAACTCTGAATGAACAGACAAGCCTACACATTTTGCACAGCAATCTACCTAACGTTCTTACAGAATGTCAGCCACTATATCTGATTGCTCTTGTTTTGATTTAATCACCAATTTACTTAGTCATCTTTCATGCTGATAGTGATGATTCTCTAAGAGCAAGTTCATTTGACCAGTTACCTTTGATTTTTTGCAAGCCAGACTATAGCTGAAATCAATAAATCTTTCTCAGCTAAAGAAAACAACTTTATAGTATTCAAACAAGGCACGTGTTCACAATGCTGCATTTCTAGAACTGAACTGCATTCCTTTTGGAGTTAAAACAAAACAAAACCACAAAAAAACCCCAAAACAAATAACCCTCAAACCAGTGAGAGGGTAACAAAAAGCACTCATCTATAGGGCTTAGTTCTTCCAGAGCAAGGAATTAAGAAATAAACAAAACCACCACAAGCAAGCTGTATAAACATATGCATGCCAAGAACTCGTACACATATAGTTCCTGAAAGCAGATCTGCTCTCACACAGCAGGAGAATGAGTACAAATGCTAGTACCCAACAATTAAAGCCATTATTAGTCCTTGGTTCTCCAAAAAATAAGCTGTTGCTGACACATGGACGTACAGAAATGTACATTAACCAAAGGAGTTCTCCCTTTGCAAAATGGCAAAACCATGAGAGAGAAAAACAACCATTTCTTGTACTTAAAGACACGTTCTTTTCAGTGACAAAAAAGCAGAGTAGGAAATTTAACCAAGTAACCAAGTAATTTAACCAAGTAACAAGTCTAACAAGTATGTACAAAACAACAGCAGTCAGTCATCTACAGAGGAATTTCTTCTGCAACATGTAAGTAAATTATTACCATTCATGGATTTTAGGGCCACAGTGAACTGTGATGATTTGTCAGTTCATTGCCCTACACAAAATGCAAGCCAAAATAACCTCAGTACCTGTATCACTGCAGACACTACTGTCACACACACTACTGATACTTCATTTGCCATGTTTCCTGAAGTGCACAATGTCAGCAACTTACTTGCTGTCAGTGAAAAGAACAAAAGAAGACAAGAAGTATACAATTGGATTGCAACTCCAGGGCATGAAATACTAAGATCTAGAGAGTATTCACATTTGATTGGACATACATGAAGTCTGAGAATTGATCACAATTAAGTAACTTTTTCATTTGAAATCTGGAATTAAAATATGGCATTTAAGCAACGCTTCATTAGTCACTATATTTTTACAATCACATTTTCCAGAGTAACATTTCTTACAAATCTGTAGTCAAATCTAAAGAAAACAAAGATTCATTGGAAGATATTGTTTTTAAAACATAGCTCACCTCTGGGTAAAGATTGAACCTCTGTAAGGTGTTAATCACTAAAGGATATTCAGTTAGTTTGTCATTCATAATTGCCCATACTCCACTGCAAAACGATGGTGCCTCAATAATGACCTTGAAGTATGAATAATAAAGACCCTACGGGAGAGCAGAATCATTATTTACAATTAAAGAGGTCACTTCTGATTCATGAAATGCCACATACAAGCCTCATTTTTAAATCAAATTTTGTAATACAACAAATAGGACAAAATGATTCAAAATGACTATCCAATTTCCATCTCTCTTCTGCTAGTGCCACTGAAACAAACAATGTGGGTTTCCTTCCACTTTGTTTCATAGCACATCTGGAAATGTCTCATTTGGGCTGGTAACTATACACCAGCGTAATGTTTCACAATTCTCAAAATAAAAGCAAGCAAAAGGTGGATATGCATGCAAACAATTATTAATTAAAAATTATTTTTTAAAAAGCTGCATACCAAGACTATAACTGAAAGTATGCTACAAGGTACTTGTAGTTTCATATTTTAGGAGCTCTAGAATCATATTTTTAAATTACATTTTAAGTGAACTGTGAAGAGATTCATGGTCATCAGCTGCAAGATGCAAAAATGCTCTGCAGTTAAAAATGTAATGCACGTTGCAAGAAATCAATACATTTACACTAGGTGCAAGATATCAATATATTTATTTATCCAGAAAGTATTAAGAAATTTTGGAAATCTCATGATCATAAGATAACAGACAGAAATTTTCCCATCACTGAATTATTACTGAAACATAATCTAACCATTTCCGTGCGAAAAGCCATTTCTCTTTCTAGCGTTGACAGATGAGAAAAATGACGGTCATTTTCAAAAAGAGTTGTTATGTGATACCTGTTAAAAAATAATAATTAAGACTGAATAAAGTTTTAGAACCTGTACTAGGTCATATATACCAAGGAACAGCTGGTAAAACATTCAATGAAAACCCAAAGTTTACTTGCAAACTGTTATTTTAATTTACTTATATATTATACCAACATTCTATTCTCCTCTATTCAGACTATTTTAAATGGAAAAAAATATGAACCCATAGAGCATTTAGTAAATTCTATTATGGAATTAGTTATAATACTCTAATATATTTTAACTTAAGTGCAGACACTTAAGGATCAAAAGTTTAATGCTATTGGAACTATGAAGTCTACATATCAGGAAAGAAAATTCAACTATCTGAAAAATGAAAAGAATAACAGATTAAAAACTAGTGAAAATAATGGTGCACATAGAAGTAGTGTGTGTTTTTTCCACAAAAACATTCCCTGACTTGTATTTTAACACAGTTATTTGCCATTATGTATATATATCACCAAAAGTATATTTAAATAAAGGTGCAACTATAGAGGCGGGGAGGGTGAAACCCAGAAAAAATACAAATCATTCTGGAGGCAAAACTTGCAATTTCCAAGAGGCGCTCCATCTCCATAAAGTGCACAGGACTCTACTTTTGAACAGAAATTTGCAAGAAACAAACTACTAAAAATCAATAGGTTTTTTTGAGCTAGGAAACAAAACAGAGTGGCAGAAGCTGTTACTTTTTATCCCTGCAAAAGCAGCTGGTTAAAAATCACTATAGAAGCCATTCTATTTCAAGTCTATACTACAGAAAGGAAGGGTGAGGATTAGGATGGAACCTAAAACACAAGGATTTGGTTGACAAAAAGCAGTTGAAAGGCCATTTTTCTGTACCAAAAGAAAACATCAACCAGACTTTTCTGAAAAGGTTAGAGAAAACATGATGCAAAACTAAGAAATTAAAGCAGAATCTAAATAAGCAGAAAGTACAAGGAAGTTGAAAGGATTTACCTGGACTTTCAAAACCCACTGAGGGTAAAAAGGTCTGTTAGTGAAAATGCACGTGAATTTGTATAGCTAAGCAACAATTTTCCACCTGGAAAGCAAGCTTCACTCTTCACTGAACAGGCTTGAGAAATCTTTCATGTCAGCTTCACAAAAACAGAATTATTCACCTTAGAAACAAATAATTTGTTTTTGAGAAGAAATCTCTAAATATAAATTATCCCAATAGCTTGTCTAAATATAAGTCAAAGATATTGATATTTTTATTATTTTAAAATATCATATTACTCTCAAGCAATAAATTTAACCTTACCAATGTAGGACTCCTGCAAAAGCAGCTGTAAAGGAAACAAAAGGTGTCAAGTTACTCAAATATTTAAATCACTGAACATGAAATATGTTCTTTGAAGTAATTACAATACTACTTCAGAGATGCGTAGAAGGTACTCAGTTTCCAGAGGAACATAAGAATAGGAATGTCTGAATTCACTTTTATAGCCAGCTCTCTGAAAATTTGAAATTATGTTGATTATGCATTCAGCAATAGGAAATGTTCCCACCTCCATTCTGCATCACTCAAATTGATCCATTAGAATCTAACACAGCCATTTCAGCTATCAATAACAAAACTGAGTTATAAGCTTTTTTATTTATATTTTTTAATACACACAAATATTTTTAACATTTTAAGATACCTACTGTGACTGTTCACTCAACTCCTTCTCAGATTTTGGCTACCACACAGCTCATGCTAAGGCCTGATGTATGCTAGGAGTAGCGCTGTTAGGTCAAAGCAAGGGCAACACACAGGCAGGATGTGGTGGCCAGGAAGGGCTAAAGGTCATTATGCAGCCGTTATCACCCGCAGCTTGCTATCTCCTGCAGTCACAGTCCTCACGTATTGATTGTCTGGCAGTTTCTTCAGAATCTGCTAACTCATGGAAATGGTATAGATCAGAATTCCAAGCTACAAGCCATAAATACATCAGCTTACCCAAAATGTTTTGAGTCGGATCCAGCAGCAGCTGGACTGCTGAGGCTTTTGTGCTTCCCAGTGTGATACAGGGGACACCGGCACCATGATGGATGAGGAAGGCTGAGCGCTCCCACCATCAGCTAGGTAACTATTTTGCTCATAGGTGCACAAGTTAGGAGTTACAAGTTATGAGTTGCGAATTCGAGAACTTGTGAGTTAGAAACCTCGTGCGTTAAGTGATGAACTAGTAAATTTCCATGTTAGACTAGTCTGCACAAAGTGGAATAAGCCCTTGTTTGTAAATGGTTTTGGGTTTTTTTTGTTCTTTCCTAATGAGCTCATAAAATAAAGTTTTTACATTTACAGAGTACACTGTCCTGTAAATTTATGAGATCCAAACAGACCATGACAACCAACCCAACTTTAACTGAGACTATAATTGCTAAAACAGGTAGACTCCACATGTAGTAATTGTCCATTTGGAGACTATCTGCACTGTTGTCATATAGGTACAGAACAAGGGAGGCAATCTGAGAGACAAACAGTCTAGGTCTTTGCCTTCTTGAGCATTAAAAGATCCACAGAGAGCAGAAGCCATTCGATTTTGCTTGGCCAGCATTCACAACATATCCAGAGCTCACCATGGAAGCAAACCCTGCATGAGTGAGGGATAAAGGGTGGGATTTAAATGGACCATGGTGTTCCTTCTAGACTGAAGGTGACTTGGTTAGACACACAGCGGCTCTCTGCCATAGAAAGGTCAGGTACATTGGTTGCCTTCAATCCAAGAAAATCTTTATGGTTAATGCAGAATCTTCTCATTCATGTAGGCTATATGGAAGGAGAAAGAGGGGAGGACAACCACCCTCCGCTTACACCCAGCTGGAGCTGGGAAGGTGCTGAGCTCCGTGTCCCTCTCCAGGGTGCTGATCCACAGCTCCCCAGCACAGCCCTGGCCTCCAGCACAACACAGAATGGGTCAAGTTGCTGTCACATTGGTAAAACACACATCAGATGTCTGCACACTGACACAGAATACAGTCAGAGAGTTGGCGAACGCAGTGTGTTCAGACCACGTGTTGTGTGTGTATGGTGGTCTGCTTCTGGAAAATAGTGGGGACAAGAGAAAGAAAAACGCCTTTGCAAAACCACTAAATTTATGTGGAAAGAAGGGCGGAATGAATGCACACTCCATGTCCCAGTATATATTCCCAAGCCATGTGTTCCTCCAAAACAGAGGCCAGAAGTGCTGCTGCTGGCAGTACTTGTTATCATGGTCACCGCAATGCTGCTGCTGGCAGTACTTGTTATCACTGTCACCACAGGTCATAACACAACAAACTAACATTAAAATTGAGGTTCAGAAATGTAAAGTTTTGTATATAAAGATGTGTGATGCGAAACTAGGTAAGGCAGGGGGGAAAAAAAAATCACCTAAGGGGAAAAAAATTTCTAAACCACCCATCTGTACAATTAAACATTTACCTCAAGTTACACACTTCACATAGTATTTGAGGTTGTACAATACCACACTGAAACTTCCTTAAGAGTTTTTCAGCTCCACTCCAGTCACTGAAGTAGTTTTCTCAAAGTGAAGCCTGAATTTCAGTTACAAAATGAATACCACAAACTTTAATTTAAAACTTTACATTTTTACACATATTTTCTAGGAAAAAAAAACAATCCAGAGAAAAAGGATTGCTCAGTATAGTTCACATTAAGTGGAATTAAATGTCTTAGGAAAGTTTCAGTAACTGCAGATTTATTTTATTTTATTTTATTATTTTTACACTAAGGACATTTACGTTAGTTCTCATGGAGAGCTGCAAATTCTTTCTCCAGAAAAGTACATATAGGTATGATATGGAATTCCAGGTAAGCACATCAGCTCTATCAGCAACACAGCAAACTATACTCCATAAACAAACACGTTTTGCAGTAATTGTATGGAAAGAAAAAGAGCAATCCATATTTTTCTTAGTTATTACCTATTGAGTCTCATATTTGCACAAGGCATTACTTCATTTCTCAGCAACTTTTCTAAGATGCCCAATAAGATTAGATGTATTTACATACACACACACCTAAACTATAAAAAAAATCAATTTTAAGACAGACTACATGTTAGATAAGAATATACAGTAAAGTCAAAATAAATGCACATTAGCTACTAGTACTGTTCATGATCTCAAATTCATGTGGTTTCAAATCAGCAAAATATGCAGTATTTTATTGTTGTAAATAAATTATCTATTAATATGGAAATTACATTTCAAATTCAAACATACCACTTATTTCACAGAGAAAACAGTCTACTTAAATCTGATTCTTCCCTTCAGTAAATGTTTTATTTAAAGGCAATGCATTAAGTGTAAATACATTCAGTTATTTTGGAGAATTCCATAAACATTTTTATAAAACTTCACAGTATCAGTCTACTATAAGTATAAAACGAAGACTTTCTATAATCACACATCAATTCATGTAATTACTCACACTTCAAGAGACAATGTGCTTAATTCACAGACATCCACTATGAGCTCAAATCAACATTTTTCAGTAGAATGCATCCAGACTTACACTAAGCTAGTTCCTGATGGAAAATATGCAGATCAGCTCTCTTAGATTACCATCCTTTGATCCCATTAATGTCCTTACTGGGGGGGAATGAAGGAGAGGGCAGGAGAGGAATACTAGAGTCCTAATGCTACAGAGACTTACACAGCTACTATGTACTTCAAATTGCAGATGCCATTTTTCAACCTCAGAATCTCTAAAAGCAAAGAGTATGATCAGATTTTTGCAGACTAGGGCTATTATGTAAAATCTGAGAGTTGATTCTTCAGATTTCCTATTTTTGCCTATGTTCTAAGAAAAGCAACATGAATGGCATATAAAAAACATCCTAATTCTGGAAATTAAACACTGAAGAATAAAGCTGTAACATACAGAATGGATTTAGAACAACAAATGCTTGACACCACAATGCAACAGGATGTGAAATGTACTAGAAACTGATTAATACTTTGTGAGTCTCCCGAAAGTGACTAGGTAGGAAAACAGCAGAACTGAGAACAAGGAGGAACGTGCAAGCACTGACTACTGCAGTTTAGTCAAGATGTTTCATTGTGAGATTCTGTGCAATCTAGAAAGGATGTCTTCAAGAATAAAGCCTCAATTCAATGGTCATTTTTAAAAACTCCAAAATAATAGGGCAAAGTGTTGTATAAGAATGTCCTTGAAAATCTGACAACTTTATTGTTGCATGTGAATGGGAAATAATTCTTAAGAAAAAAAAAATCCACACCCTTTAATAAAACTATCTCAAACTGCAGGAGACTGTTTTTAAAATCTGGGCCTTAAAGCTTAAGCAAAAGAACAACAAAAATTCAAATGTCACTAAAACTAACCAAAAAACCACTATTTCACATTTGGTATAGGTACATTCCTTGCTACTGCAAATACTGTAGGCTATTACATATTTCACTATTAAGGGTTTGCTCCTATTAAAAATATAAATAGCTCCCTGAAGTATTTAATTAGTTACCTGGGTTTCACAGCCAAATTTAAACTCCAGGAATTATAAAGCTCTCTACCTCATCTGCTCTCAAATTTCAATCACAGGAAAGCGCTTTTCAATTTTGACCATCAGTTTAACGTTTCTATGTCGAGTAACTACTAGTCTAGGAAATGCTCAATAAACAGAGGTAAGCAAAGCAATTCAGGAGGAGTTTATTAATCAATTAGTTTGTAAGCGAAGGGTTGTTTCCCCGCTACTGCCTTGCAGCATCATTCATCAAATTGAAGAAACTCCCTTTGGCAACCAGGACTGCTGGTGGTGTGATTAATAGTACCAGCACCTTTGGAACAGTCCTTTCATATAATACCTTTAAGAGTATATCTAATTGTGCGTCTGACAAATATACTATTGTTTAACATCTGTTAACTTGAGGAATGCATTTCCTCCTTAATTTTGCAAATACTTCAGGTGTTTTTTCCAAGACTTTGGCCACTAGCCATTTTATTATTTACTCCAAAATATTCCCAAAGATAATAACATTTGAATTTACATCAGCTGCTACAATATAACAGCTTTACAAATGTTACCAGGTAGGAAGTTATTTCCTGTCCCTGTCTAACACAAGCTATGCTTTTTTGTTTTTTCCAAGTGATGTTTCCCAACATATTTTGACACAGTTTACATTTCCAGAGAAAGGAAGGTAAAAAGAACAGTATTTTCCTGCGATGTATTCCTTCTACTTACCCAGAAGGAAAGTGAGCCATAGCTTGCTATCAGCTTTTACAATGAAGGCCTTTCTGTCGTCAACAAATACTGCTGAAAGAAAACGAGTATTTTCAGCATCAATTAAGAACAGCCTCTGTAAGGAAATCTGTTCAAACTCCGCAAGCATTAGTTTTCTGTAAAAATCTTGACTTCAAAACTGCTGAAAGAAATCTCATACAGCAAGCTAGCAACGTAAAAGCATTTAACAACACAGACAGACCGGCAAGGCAACTACACAAATCATCAGATTTTTAATTCCCGAGATAACTTTTACAAAATAACTCGCGAAAAAGAGGGTTTGTTCATGGACACATTATCGACAAATTCGTTCAAACGTAAAGTCAGACTTTAGAAGAATAAGCAACCCTCCGTCCCTTCAGCAAAGCGTTATCAAGACACAAGCTGGTCATACCCAGCCTGTAAGCAGAGCTACTCAACACGATCAAAGGGGTTGTTTTAAGAAGAGTTAGTTACACAAAGTAGGAAAAACCCCTTTTCTACCCCCCTCGCCCCCGATTCTCGCTGATACCACGGTGGGTCCTGTGAGTTCTTTATTTTTGTTAACCGCCTGCCGTTGTGACGGGCCGGCGGAGGGGAGCGGGGAGGGCGGGAGAACCACT